TATACATACACACACACACACACACACACACACACACACACACACACACACACACACAATCAAACCTCGGTTTTTGAACATCTCTGTTCTCGACCAAATCGGTTTTTGACCAAAAATTTCGAGTTTTTTTATATCTCGGATTATGACCGAAATTCGGTTCTCGACCTAACTGAGCACACTTGAATGCACCACTTGACTTCTCTCGACTTCCTTACACGAGGAAGTGACGCTTCCTCGGGTTGAGGAAGAAAAGATGCCCCCGTTGTGAGCAGACGTGTTCAATAAAGATTTTTAAAAAAGCAGACGTGTTTGTTGAGATCGACGCAAATTGGAATGTTATTTCTGCATGGCACAAAGAAAGCAAGTGAAAGTAGTAAAGCTGCTGAAAAAAGAGGAAAATAGTGCGTAAAACTATAGAATTTAAGAAAGATTTGATAGTGAAATATGAATCAGGTGTTCATGTGTCTGTGTTGGCGAAGGAGTTCGGCATGCCGAAATCAGCAGCATCCTAAAAAAGAAAGACCATCATAGAGTCAGTGATGTGGCTAAAGGATCTCGTGTGTTTAGTGAACAAAGGCCACAAATATTAGAGGAAGTGCAGGAACGTTTGCTTATTTTCATAAATGAGAAACAGCTCGCAGGGGACAGTCTTATCCAAGATACGATTTGTGGCAAAACAAGATAATTGTATGGAGATTTGATAAAAAAAGGATCCTAGCATTGGTCCTGAAGAGTTTGATTTTAAAGCAAGCAGAGGATGGTTCAAAAAGTTGAGGAAAATAAGTGATTCGTCATGGGGAGACAGCCAGTTCAGACAAGGAAGCTGCCAAAAAGTTTAAAGTTGAGTTTGAAAATCTCATCAAGGCCGAGGAATGTCTTCTCCAGCAAACTTTTAATATGGACGAGAGTGGACTTGTGTGGATAAAGCGGTTCAGAAAATCGATGGAGGGATGTTACCTCGTACTGTAGTGTAGGATTGCAGACAGAGCGTCCATAGTTATAGCCATTACATTAGGGTTTATAAATTCAAGGTGTAAAAGAATGCAATCTACAATTGTCACGATATGAGAGAGAGAGAGAGAGAGAGAGAGAGAGAGAGAGAGAGAGAGAGAGAGAGAGAGAGAGAGAGAGAGAGAGAGAGAGAGAGAGAGAGAGAGAGAGAGAGAGAGAGAGAGAGAGAGAGAGAAGGACAGACAGACAGACAGACAGACAGAGAGATGTTCAATTTTTATGTTACAATGTCAACGTTAATATCAAAATTGGTTACGATAAAACATACAAAATGTTTGTAGTTTATTGTTACCTGCTCTCTTATTACACGTGTATACAGTTTATGGTGTAAAATAGTTGAAAAAATGCTTTTAAAAAAGTTGTTTTCTAGACTTGGAACGGATTAAAATTTTTTACATTGATTCTAATGGGAAACATGGTTTCGGTTTTTGAACAATTCGGTTTTCGAACAGCCTTCTGGAATGGATTATGGTCGAAAACCGAGGTTTGACTGTATATATATATATATATATACACCGTATATTAGTGCTGTCAAACGATTAAAATATTTAATCGTGATTAGAAACACAACTGTCATAATTAACTCATAATTAATTAAGCGTGATTACTCACACATTTTCATTATTTCTAAATTTCCTTTTATATTTTTCTGTTCTATTTTTTCACGTTTTAATGCAATCATCAACATGGAATCATGGATCAGTTTTCTATGTGCAAAATGCAAATATTTACTGAAACAACAATTTCGATTTTCAATTTTACATGAAGATTTTTCACTTGGAGCAGTTATTCACACATAATCTCTCACACAAAATTACTGTCCATCAACAACAGTGAAAAAAATATTTTGTCACACAACAGCTCCTTTAACAGCTCTTTTTAGGGAATCAAAACAGAGCACTATAAAATTATTGTGCTGATTCGGTTTGGGACCAACAGGTGGCACTGTAGAGCTCCCCCTGCAGCTGCACACCTGTTTGTCGTTTGGTACCGTATTTTCACGACCATTTGGTGCTGTTGGGCGCAGTCTCAGTAACGGGTGCTATTTCTGTATTTGACACATACACCAAACGCACTGTATTATTGGGCGCAGCCAGGCATGGTAAAACATACGCCAGCTTAAACATAAGGCATGCATGCACGCAGCTAAAAACGCGTTAGCTTGAAGCATACGGTAGCATGCATGCACGCTAAAACATACCAGGTATGTTAGCTTCAAGCATATGATAGCACCTAAGACCTACGGACACACGCTAAAAACACGTTTTTAAAAAGGCAACGGAAGCAAAACTGAGTTCGGTTGTACTTTATTTAGCCATTTTACAATGTACTCATGCGACTGGTCCCTGCTAGGGGCGTGCCTTTAGCGTCCTTTTACACGCCCACCCTTCACTCATTGGCGGACTTCCGCATGCCTGTCGTCACTCACGTCAGCCTTTTCTCTGTATAAACAGCATGTCGGCCAGAAGGGCTCTCAGTCAGGCTTTGGAACTCGGCGCATATACTAGACGCTCCGCATTATAAAGCGTCCTGTCCATTTTGGAGAAAATTTAAGACTTTTAATGGCGCCTTATAGTCGTGAGAATACGGTAATTAGTTGTATAAAAGGACTGCCACCCGAACACTCATGGTCAGGTCGTTGTTTGTTTGTTGCTGTTGGCTACTGTCATGTTTGTTTGTTGCTCTTTGCTGCTGTCATTTTTGTTCTCAGTCATGTTTCGGTTATGGTTAGTTTTTGCTTCAGTCATGGTTTTGTTTGCTACTTTGAATTATTTTTGTTTTCAGGACTTTGTTTGTTTCGGATTTAGTTTTCTGTGTTTTAATACAATTCTTCAAGTACACCCTGCTCCTCCCTCCTGACTGCTTTTTGGGGTCCACCACCGCCTCGCAAACGTGACAATTATAAAGTGCACATCTTAGGTAAACTCGTACTCAGCCTATAGTGGATTTAAGCCATGGTTGCATACTTCGTTTTTCTCAAGTTTGCTTTGAACACAGCAGTCAGGCTATGTTGATTCTGTTGGTCCTTCTTGCGCGGAGTTAGTTTGTCCTGACAACGCAGGAGAACAGTTTAGTTGAAAGCATACTGTGTGAGCAGCAGGCTAACCACAGACACAAGGCCTCTTGGATGCTGAGCATTCCGTGGCCAAATTAATCATATTGATTAGGTTTAAAAACTGATTCAACCGTTCAAAAACCTCACTGACACTTAACAGGAGGCTGCTGAAGAAAGTAAAGAAAGCTCAAACCAAATTAAAATTGACATTCTGAGTACATTAGTGCAGATCTCTATTCGGGAGAAAAAACATCCCACCTCCCCGCGTCCGCCGAATTAAAAAAAGAAGAAAAACCTTTATTTGTCTCACGATGGAGACATTCGCAATTTACAGCAGCAAAAATTATTAAAAAGAGAAAGTAGAAAAACAAAACACGTATTTGAATGCACAAAAAAATAACAGTTTAAAAAATGGACTGTACACAGTACAGAGTGATCATATATATATATATGTGTGTGTGTGTGTGTGTGTGTGTGTGTGTGTGTGTGTGTGTGTGTGTGTGTGTAAAAATGAAAGCATATATGCATTTGCAAAGTGGCTGTACGAAGTACAAAACAAGAACAAATCTGTTGGATGGATGTTGTGTAATTTAATGCAATACTATTGTAAATGTATCCAATTCCCTCAAGCATTTAATTAAAGGGACATTAACTCTGAGATGTGTGATTGGTGATGGATTCCCTCATTTGGAACTCTAAGCTATTTGACATTGAAGACTGTGACTTTGCTCTTGGGTGTCTTTCTCTGACTTTGCAACACAAATTCTTCGGAACGAAGAGGGGGAAGTTGATGGAGTTTGCTGTTGGGCATTCATGCAGCAAAACCATTTTTTTCCCCTTCAACCCGCCTCTCACTCCTACTTATCTTTGTTCCCCCAGCGTGTTTGGCTGCATGCATTTCTGTCACTTGGTCTATTGGTCATCCTCCCATTCCAACACAAAAGGAATATGGAGAGGCAGTCTCTGATGGCCTGAGTGTATCCTTGGCTGAAGGTCTTCCGTTTGTGATCTACTTTTTGCTGAGACTTGTGAAATTTGTCCTTGGGCTGCTGATGGAGATCTTCCTTCTCACACTCACTCCACGATGCCCCCACCACCTCCCCGCCACCATTGAGCCTGCAGAATGGCTCCAATCACAAGGCAGGAGCATTCCAGTGACCTTCAAATTCCCGAACACACTTTCTCCCCCAGAACTGCAGTTTTCCCAGACCTCGTCTGTTTCATTCTTAGCAGCCTGGGGTTCATTACAGTCTCATACCAGGCGAAGCCTTCACCCCTCCCTTAATGTGATTCATCATCATAATAGAATCGCTTGTCAGCTATATAGTAATGATTTGTAAGCAATGAACTTGCTGTGTTGCTTTTTAGCGTGGAGCTAATTTCCCTTGTATCACTTATCAGAGTATTACAATTTTTTTTTCTTTCCACTGAGCGAGCTTTAATTTCCAAGTAATAAAGCAATACATAAAATCAATAAGAGTGCTGCTGCGTCAGACCACGTTACAGTCGATGAGGAGGCAGTGAGTAAGTTGTTGAGAGGCTTCGCTGGAACACGGACATCACAGCACAGCTTGCCTCGAGTGTACCGTGTCTTGGGCAAACTGTACCCACACCTTGCACTGGTGGTGTCTCACACACACACACACATCAACCCCAGATGCTACATCTTGTGGAGGTCTGATCTAAAGCAGAAAGTTTGCTGTAACTTTGCATCTAAGCCTCACTTCTTTCAGTTGATGATTCAAGTGGCTGAAAATGTGACATACACTTGTGTGCAGTTCTTGTTTGGCAATGTGTGGCATGCATGGATGGTGTCATGGGAAATTGCGTACGTTACACCTGACAGCAGTTAGTGAACAGTGAAAATCTATTTCGATTACAACAAAAAGAAGAAGACATAGCTTAATGTTTACACCTAAGCTATTGTGCTGTGTATTCGAGTGCTGTGTCTTGGTCC